ACCCAGGATTAACACCTCCCAAAAAACGTCACTTGGGAATATTCAATTTCTTTCCAAATATACTTGCTGTTGCAAATTGGTTGTAAATGAATAATTTATCAAATAATACATTTCTGAGGAGACACCGTTGAAGCAGGCAGTAACGGATTTAATAAAAACCTGCACAGGCAGACGCAGTCGGCTGTTAGCTGGTGATCACAGTCGGGGATTTAACGGCTCGTGGAGACAGAAATTTCCCTCAGGAGTTGAACGTACGAAAAACAAGCAGTGAACTTAGATTCACACAAGTTCAAGGAAAACAATATCACTTAAAAAACGTTGTTCAGGTCGAGGCTGTTTGAGCAAATCGATGACAAAAATAAACATTTCTGGCGTGTGTTTTGTTACTTTTTTTTATTGACTGATATTCCTACTGTTGCTCATCAGAACATCATGAATATCGTCGTTCCTGGTGTAAAAGCTTCCTTAAATTCTGAATATGTCTGATCACCAAAATAGAACAACTCAGGGAGCGGGCGGCGGGGGGCTCAGCAAATGAGATTTTTCAGACATATCCATTCCTATTTAGAGACGTCTTCACGGAGGAGAACAGACGAAAATACCCTTTGTTTTAAGTTTAATTCAGTTTCTATGGATACGGCATTGTTGCTATGTGACAGAAGTGAACCACGAGTTTCACATGATGATACGTGAATAAACTGTATGAACTGTACGTTGTTACAAAACAAGGGAATGACGTGTGAACAGCTTCTAGTATTATTTAATAATAGGATGATGTTTTAAAATGAACTGATGTCAGAGTTCAACAACTTCAAAAATAAACTTTAAAAAGTGAAAAAAAAAACCATGAAATTTGGAAGTAAATCTCGTGTATTTCTAAGGATGAATACGCTACTTTGGAGTTCATTGGTCCACAGTGCAGCGATTTTCACACTTGCCTTACACATCTGCCTTACATGAAAAAGGTCCTTGGTTTGAGTCCCTGAGGAACTTACCTCCAAAACTGTATTTTTAAACCTACTGCTTGTACTTCATGTTATACTTCTACTATTTTTATACGTCTTATTCCTAATAGAATAAAAATAATGTATGTATATACAGTACTGTAATGACAATCAGATTACTTTGTTACATTACTGTAAATTAATATATGCAATATTTTACTAACCGATCATGCATATGTTTGCAGTTTTCAAATTACTATGAACCAACAGGTCAAACCTGGTGATCAGTGAAGTTTTTTCTGATCATCTGTGACACATGACTACTTACTTGAGAAACAGAGCGGTTTGTAAAAATATTTTGTCAGTACTAATTAATTGTCAACCATTACAGTGCAGTAATTAAAGAAAATTACTTTTTTTTTTCTCCTTCCCTTCTGTTTGGCCTCTCAAGTGTGAGAAGTCAACGTCTGCCGTCAGTGTTAAGGACATGTCAGTGTATCACTCAGCAGGTCTGTTGATTACTATGGATTTGATTATAGCTGTGCAGAATAACAGTCGCCTTCACTGTGCAATCTGTGCAGCCCTTCCTCTCTCTCTCTCTCTCTCTCTCTCTCCCCTCCACTGTGCGTCTTTTAATTGGCCTGTTTGTTTCTCTGATAACAGTTATTATATGCAGTACATTACTGTCGTGTCACTGTTCGAGCAGCCGGGCTGAGCTTCAGCATGACAAAAGTTCAAATTTGAATTTGTCATCCAGCAGCTGTCAGCCGTGTTCACTTCTCAGTATGAAACTCATTGTTCTGTGGTTACCGTGTCAGGTGAGTTCTAACTCAGCAGCAGTGACCATCAGTCAGCGGGAGAACCGATCCAAAGATCTCGACTTCTGACCACCATTAAAAAAACAAGTTCTTCACATCTAATCTTACACCTGCCACTTGGAGCGGTTTCCTCGCATCAGATGCTGCCTTCACTGGATGTAAATGAGCTCTTGGCCTGGATATATAAGTGAGATGAAGGAACAGGAGGCCTTCAGTGTCTGTTCTCATCTCGACAGATGGATTTTTTTTCCCAGTCTTTTCTCTAAGACAATATGGAAGGAACCGACAGGGCAGATTTTAAATGCTCTGAATGCAACACATTAAAAAAAAAGAAGAAGAAAAAAAAAACACACACCATATTTTCACACACTTCTTCAGCCAATAAAATCTACCAAATCCCAATTCAACAGAAACTTAATAATTAATTTTATTGTTTTGTTGTTTATTGGACAACTGGACAACATTCAGTGTTCAGTGTTTCTCCTATTAAATCAGATGTAGTCTGTAGATTTCTGCCAGTGTTTGGATGAAATGCCATGTCTCATGTCTGAATGACTGAAGAACAAAAACTCTGTCATCCATTGAGTAGATGATTTCACGTCTGAATGACTGAAGAACAAAAACTCTACAAAAAGTCCTAAAGTAAGTAATGAAACCAAAGTCTTATTTAAGTACCGATAATTAGCAACTAAATGTTAGTTAAAGGCTAAAGTCAAATAATCAATAATATAGCTAATTCTAGATTAGCATGTGGCTTAGAATAAGAACCAGAATTGGTGTTTACTACAAAGTACAAAGTAACAGAAACACAGTTAGCTCTAACTGATACTGTAGCTATAACTGAACTAGCTTAAGTATATAAAAAATCTTTGCTAAATCCTAACATGCTACTGAACAAATACTACCCTGAAAAAGCAGGGATGTAAACTTAATAATTTAGGAGTTTAATATTTTGTTTCCCATTTTTACTTCATTAATATAAAAATGTATAAATTGAAGAAAATTTACAAAAAAAAAAAATCACTAATTTAATTTTTGCTTCAAACTTTGTCCAAGATGTTCAGTTTGTGTCCTTGATGACCTCAAATCATTTTCCTCCCCGTATAATAACTTACTGCCCCTGAAACAATTCTCCACTGGGACAAAAAAAAAAAAGACAGTAAAAAGGTTGAAAGCCGTTCAGATCAGAATGATGTTGGTTGGTAATGGTTTTGTTTCTGAGATGCAGCCACTGGCGCTCTGACTCTCCTCTGAGACACCGCTGCAGATGAGTGCATATGAAATATGAGAGCTCGTCATCAGGACCCGGGTCCACGGGATGTGATTTACTGGCAGCACTGGATGATAAGATGACCCCAAAAAGTCAATGTGAGCAACTGCAAAACAAGACGATGGGCTCCATCTGACAGCAGTTATGAATTCATTCATCAGCTACGGTATTCATGACGCCCAGAAATAAATGTAAACAAACAAACAAACACAGAAGTTGTGATCTGGCTGCAGATCAGAACCTGAAACCAGACAGCGCTGCTTCACTGCTGGGTGGAAATTAGGAAGTTAGAACATTTCACTGTTTCAAGTACTGTAGTAATACTACAGATTTATAAAGATAAAGATAAAAAAAGATTATTAACACAAGACGTAGATTTCTACAGGCAGACAATGATGAAAAGTATATTCTTCTTTTTACTACTTTAATATACAAACAGTACTTTCTGCAATGTTTACCTGGTAAACAGAAACTGAAGAACCAACCTCCATCAACAACGCTGTGATTGATGTATTCATATACACAGCTCAGAGTTCACATACTACAGTATAACTACCATAGCATTCGTGCGCCCACACAAACGCCTACTTTTAAATGAAAGCATCAACTTCACACCCTCTAATGGCTGCTGTAAGTCACTGCGGGGAAACAGGAAATTGCTTTACAGCGTGTACGATTGATACCAGACACATTTAGGGGAACTTTGTGTTACGAACGTAAAAACAACGCGATTCCCGGAAAGTACAGACACGATACGTGCTCGTGAGGTACAGGTAGTAGTAATGAAACATCAGTGCAGTACTGTGAACGGCCTGCGGTAATTTTACCAAATCCAACATCAGTCCTGCATCATAAAACATTATGGGGGATTGGACGAGAGTGTTTCAACAACACTGACGTACGTCCACACATTTTCCAAGAATATTCCCACAGCGACTCTCCACTCAGGAGTGGACTGCAGTGAGAGGGAATCATTATGTTAATGCAGGAACTCTGGCACTGCACAGAACTACAGTACTGGGATGAGCTGTGCAGCAGTGTGTTGCTGGTATTGTTGCTGGTGGGCGGCAGCTGTGTTTACCACTGCAGCTTGTTTTCTGTTTCTGATTTAATGAACACATGGCCACTTCAGAGCCAGTGTCACTGTTCACCCCGGAGCAGAGGTGGCATTTTACCAACGGCTGAAAACAAAAACCTCCAACGGTGTGGACAGTGTTGTTAGGAGCCATAATCTGTAGTTATTCTCAGAGCAGGGGAGTTGTTGATGTTGTACTCTGATAGAAACATACATCTGTGACAGGTTGATGTAGGAGTTATACAGCTGGTTGTTGAACTATATTACATTTGTCTACAATATATGGCCCGTGTACCCAGGTGTGTTCAAGTGTAAAAACCTCAGTCCTCACATTTGACTATAAAAACTGAAAAAGTATATAAATCTGTGTGAGTCTATGTCTATATCATATATATATCACCTCATATATATGTATGTATATATGTGTTTTAATTTAATTGATGGTACACACATATATAAATAGAAAACATACAAATATACAAACATACAAATACACACACACAAATATATATACATATATTTGCATGTTCACATATATACACATATTTATATAAGTATATATGTATGTATAAAATTAAGTTTTTCTTAAGATTTTCAGTCGCGTTTGTTAAAAATATGGACGTTTGCTCTGGTTTCAAAGTTGTTCATTTGAAGATTTTAAACACAAACGTAATAGTTATGCATCAAAAATCAACAAACAACTAAGTAAACAAACTGTGTAAAAATGTAAACAAATAACCCTTAGCTAACCGCCTCACAGCATGTACACAAATCCCACGTCCACTCAAAGCAGATTCCAAAACTCCTGTTCTCCTAAACTTTCTATTCTATTCAAAAGCAAAAACAGACCAATGCTGTTTGAAACAAACAAACAAAACAAAAAACGAACTTACCTTTATTGTTGTACTTTTGGAAACTTTTGTCCACGGAATAAACTTGTATTCGATATACAACCACATATCCCAGGATGCTTTGCTCTGTATTCCCCATTCACCATCGTTTTTTCAACCAGAAAGATTCAATTTGACGGATGTGAGATCATTCATCCCAACTCTGACGTATTTGCGTCCTGGTAAACGGCACGCCATTCTATTGGACAGGAGAAATAAAGTTTTAATAAAACATGATAGTGAAATATGTGGTAATTAAAACAAGGGGTGTGTGGGTAAGTTTACGACAGTTAATTCGTTTCTGCCAAACTACCACATATCAGTTCGCCTACCTTTGTATTTAGTGACAGCTCTTACATGTCCTTCTATGACTTTCCAGAATGTTTGGTCTTCGTCAGCAGCAATATATAAAATACAACGCAATAAAACAAACAAACAAACAAACAGGAAAACGTTCTTTTCTTCTGTTGAATCGTCATTTACTTTGACAAAATGGCGTCTGTAGAGTGCTGAGGTTTAAGTTTTGAGTCTCATGTGTACTTGATTAAACTTGATTCGCTCTTGACGCGGTGCTAAAGTGTTGTCATTTGCAGAGGGAGCACTTGTGTTTAACGCCACCTCAGTAATTGTCTCTTGATTCAACTGGAGAGCTGTTAAAAAGCATGTGTCTCAGGCCGGCACTGCACAGGTGTTGTCTCCCTCTGCAGGTCACAAATGGAACTTTTGTTACCTGATTACGTTATGTGACTTTCAATTCAAAAATTCAATCAAATATTTGTTTTTCTTTTTTTGTCTGATAATTTCATTAGTTTATATAGGTCATTACATTACATTTTTTATATTTGTCTGATACTTTCCACCAGTATAAAGCATTTGAGCTGCTCAGAATTTATATTAATGTCTTTAAAAACCAAAGTAAGACGGAAGATTAATTACATCCTTCATTCACCTCCTTTTAGAAGATAATGGTTAGAAGCCCATTTCCTCAGGTTCCATTTATAATTTACACCCAAGACCCAGAAAACTGACTCATGTCTCTGAATTTTTTTTTCTCTCTTTTGTGTCACTTTTTAATGATGTGGATTTTTTTCTCTCTTTTGTGTCACTTTTTGTGTGTCTTTCCATCTCTTTAAGTCTCTGTGTGACAATATAGAGTTAAGATGAGCCTAAAATTAACAGAATTAGATGGTGTTTTTTTTCTACTGTGAATACAATTTTAGCCAAAAAATTACAAGTCACTTAAGGATAATGTCTAAAACATTGGAGGGGAACTAGCTTTAAGTCTGTAAAAAAACTAATGGGATATGAATTTGGATGAAACTGGCTGAGAGTTAAAAAATAAACGATATTTGGCAAAATCTTTAAATCGGAGTAAGAATCGTTGTCGTTGTTTTCCTCCGATAATGAAAACCCGATAACGAAATGCCTGGTTGTTGCCAAATGATGTGTGCCCTAAAAATAGTTTTGGGGATAAATGGCTGTATATTAAGATGAAAGTCACTAGATGGCAGCATTGCAGCTCATTTAATTAATCTCATACTCATACAGTGGTTGTACAGAAAAATAAATAAATATAACCAGGCCTATATTGTTATAGATATCGGAATTGAAAATGAAGTGTTTGGACGATATCAGCATATCGGCTATCGGCCGATATGCTGATATAAAGTTAATATCGGACATCCCAAGAAAATATATAACTCTCATCTTTCAGCTAGTCTAAAAAAAATCTAAGTTTGAAATTAAAGAAAAGTCTTTGAAGTTCGGATTTTAACAGATAGCACGTCATTCTCAGAGCGAGACGCTTTAATGCGGTCATCTCGACTTGCTGCCCTTTGCATCAGCGATGAGCTCAGTCCTTTATTATGTTTTGTGAAGAAGCACCAAAGTGAGCTGAATGGGATGCCAGGCCCATCATGCGTTTCATTTTTCTTGTATTTGACACACTACATGTGAATGCATTCTGAACTCATTACAGCACGGAGCGTTAAAGGCCGCGTGAGTCACCGTGGCATATCTGGAAGTGTGGGCTAGAGACGGCACAAACACAGATGCCCACGTGCTGCTTCTTTGCCCGCGGTGATGTCATCACCAGAGACTTCCTGAACACAAGGTTCATTCACAGAGACTGCGCGCCACCCTCACCCCCAAAACAGCTCACAGCCCGAGCACCAAACAAGCCGTCTCCATGGCAACTGCAGCCTGCGGCCATGTGAGTACCTTCTCTTGTTAAGTATTTGAATTCATCACCGAGTGTATGTGCTGTCCTCTCACACATGTGTGCTCCTGTAAACATGGCAACATCACCAAGATCAGCTTTAAGTTCTGGAAGTTTCTCCGCTGTGACTACTGTATAAACAAACAACTGCTGTTTGTCCTTGGGCTGTTTCTGTTTCTGGCCCTGGACAGGAGGGAGCATTTGATGAGTCACTGTCTGCTATGAGTCAAATCATTTTGCAGTTTTCCTCTCATATTCAGGACTGAAAAAAAAAAAAAAAAAAACTAGGTTACCTTGTTCGAGCTGCCTCCACTACACAGCTTTAATCTGACACAGCAACAAGACGACGGCTAAGGGCTAAGGTTTCATCAGAGACTTGGATTTTTAAACAACTTTACATTTCTTAGAATTACCATTAAACACGTTTTAAACCCCATTTATTCCTGCGCCAAAACATCCAGCAGTGCATTTGACTGATGAATACTGAAAATATCTGAGTCGTTTTTGGTCAGCTTTAAAAATTACTATCGTACCCAAGTAGTAATCAGTAGTAATTATGTGTGATATTGCTTGTTTCTATAGTTTTCATTATTTACACTCTGTTGAGGCTCAGCTTCTATCGACTGCCATTGGCTGTTTCTAAAGATGTTTTTTTCCCCCTCTGTTTGGGGTGTGGAATAATTTAATATTTTAAAACAGGGACCACAGCGGTGTTGATGTATTTATGGTTATTATTTATTTCTACTTTTTAAGGATACAAAAATAGCATGGAACAGACTTTTTAAGAGGAAACAATAAAATCTAGTAGATTTAAAAATAAAAACAAATACAAGACAACTATTAACAATGCAAAGACAGTATTAATAACCAATGTTGTTTTTCGGGGTAGTAATATAACAAGAACGACACATGCCGGTAACTTGAACAACATGTTTCAATGTAATAAAATGTTAATGATAAAATGATAACGTTATTAACAGGTAAATGATACACATTCATCTACTTTAACTGTATCATGAAGAAAATGACAAAAAATATATTTACAAAAAACAGGGGGGAATATATTCACTTCAGACTACATTCAATAAATGTTTGACTCTCCTGTGCTGCACTGGCTCAATCTGAAATGTCATAAAACATTATTGGCTTTAATATTATTATAAAATATAATTATCTTAAGGATTAGGTTCATATCAAATATTAAAATTCAGTCTATCAAATTCTTGCTTTTTTTCTTTTTTTTTTACATTAATAAAAAAATGGCATTTTAAATTCTTTTTTTTCTCAATTTTTCTTTTTTTTAACATTAATAAAAAAATGGCACAGGACAGTAGGAGGGTACTCCAATTTACCCAATGAAACACAGGCGTCTTGCATATTAAACAGCAGTAAAGTGAACTGTCTGATGGCCGACGCTCTCAAAGGCACTGGTTCAGCTCAGCTGTGAAGAAAGCAACGGATCGACAACGGACTACAGGAATAATACAACGCATAAATCTACACCGAGTATCAAAGCTACTGAATATCACTACAGTCAGACAAGAATGAATGTAGACATTTTAAGTCGTGACTCAAGTCACGTTTAGGGTCGTGACTTGAGTCATGTTTAAAGACTTATGGACTCAAGTCGTGTTTATGGACTTAAGTCATTTTTAAAGAGTACGTTCATGACTTAAGTCATGTCTAGGGACTTAAAAAAAAAAAAAGATTTCATGACTGAAGTCCTGACTTTAGACTCAATACGTGTTTATGGACTTGAGTCATTTTTGTCAGGTTTAAGTCAGGTTTAATGACTTAAGTCATGCTTAAAGACATAAGTCTTGACTTAAGTCGTGTTTAATGAAGGTAGGTCAGGACTAAAGTCATGTCCTTTTCAATGTTATTTTTATGCAACTTTTTACGATACTCCATGACTTTCACATTAACAAGTCGTTGGCTAGGTCCATTTTTATGGTCCCAGACACCAACTCCTAAACCCATGTGCAGTGAAAATTCTTTGGCATCTCGCTTGAATAGAAGGCAGTATATATTTCATGAATATATAATTTGGCATTATTCACACAAGTCCAGCGAATAGAAAACATCGTAATAACACGGAGCCTCTCGACAATGAAAACAGTGCATATAAGGAGGCGTCCACATGTTCGTATGTGTGTATGCTGCGTATATACTGTATATGTGTGTACAGGCGGAGAATTTGAGATGATCAACTCAGGAATAAAACGACATGTAAAAACGACACACACAAATAGTACATTTCATGTAAAAACGACACACACAAATAGTATAAATAGACAAAATACAAACTCTTTTCAAAAAGATAAAAATAACAATGTTTTTTTGGTCCCAAAATGATTTGCTTTGGCGGATATAAAAGCGTACGCTTTGGTTTCTTAAGTATTATTCTCTAATAATGTTCCACTACATTTGGTCATGTTATTGCCATAAAATATTACTATTGTTCTGCTGATGTTATTTGCATTTTCCCCCCCACCCCCGCTGTTTTATGAAATAATTAAAGGCTGTAAAACAGATGAAGGCATTTCAGGTCTGATGACTTTCAATTCTCTCCAAACTTCACGTCTCTGATGTTTAGCCTGAGGGAAACAACAACAACAACAACAACAACAACAACACTGGTACTGATGCTTTACTGTACCATTAATGGTAGAAAACAAAATGAGGAAGAAAAGTTTCGATTGTCAGTGGAATTACATCATCTTCCCGTACACCCCGTGTGTGTGTGTGTGTGTGTGTGTGTCGGTGGGTGTGTTTTGTTGTCGTCTCCTGCTCAAGTCTGTTCTCTATGTGTGTCCTCTGGTATGAACTCCAGTCAGATCCTTTCTGATGATTTCGTTCACTGCAACGAGAAAGAAAAAAAAAAGAAAACGAGTCGTTAGACACTGTGAACATTTATAACTTATGTTTGTATTTTAAAGTTACAATCAGGACAACATTTTTTTTAAAGTTGAATATCACTAGAATTGTACTGTGTGTTTGTACTCATCTGTGGAAGTAGTGGACAGATAAATACTGATGACAAATAAATTTTGTTTTTAGTTTGTTTGTCTTCTAATTGACTGATTCAGTTTTAGACTGAAAGAATACTCACCGTGTATCAATCACTGCCGTTTGATAAAAAAACAACTAAATAGTAAATATTCATCTTAGCTGAATCCCAATAATAAGAAAACAAAAACGTAATGCTGCTAAAATTATTTTTTAAAGTTATAATCCTTGAGTGTGACGAGTACTGTGTTTCTGAAGGGAACTATGCATTGACACAAAGTGACCACTAGAGGTAGAGCTACACAAGTGCAAGTTAAGAGACTACTTCCCGTTGCTTGCGCAAAGGTGCATAAACAAAAAACAACAAATGAGGAAGAGTAGAGGAATGGAAACTGTCACTTTCAAAGTGACATGTACAAATATAAAAATACATAAACAGCATTTTTTCTTTTTTAAATTTGCAGTGTAAGTGTTTTTTTTTTTGTTTACTTTAATAATATGGATAAAAACCAAGTTGTTTTTTTTTGTTTGTTTTGTCACAAAAACACAGATAAGACCAGGGAGTTGTGAGAGCGTAGATGACCGCTGGCTGGACGACATGTGCTCCCACAGACACTTTCTACCGCGGACAGGTGGTTTTTCATTATGCAACCATGTGTAACATGTCACCTCTCCAGATAAGCCACACCATCTGTGAACAGATCTGCTGTTTGTCTGGAGCCTCAGCCTGGAAGCAGACTTTGTGACGGACTGTGTGCACTGGCACCGGGGAGAAATTACAGGCTGGTGCCACCACTTCCACTGGGCCTCTGGGAACTCATTAGAATGATGACTAATACAAGGATTTCAAAGACAGCCAAAAAAGCTTTTCGCCTGAAACCGCACCGTTCGAGGACATACAGTATCATGCTTGTGATTTTGTAACCATGGTGAACAGCAACACTGGGCTGGTACTGAACTGAAAATGTGTACGAACGTGACTGACGACTGGAGGGAACGCTGTGAATGTGAATGTGAATGTTGTTTCTTGTAATGGAAAATCAAATAATATTACAAAACAACTTGGCCAGACTGAGGATCCCACCTCCACTTCTTAACGTTTACAAAAATCAGATTAAGGTTAAAAAGAAGTGTGACAACACCACAGCAGCTGAAGGAAATGCTGAGATCAATATTTACAGAAATTGGCTTCCTAGCCGGAATCACTTTCTTGTTCTCGCTCAACAGTTACACCTTACACATCGGAAGAAATGTCAAGATAAGCTGCAGACGTGTGGGAGCAGAGAATACAACACGCTTTAATGACAAAAAACAATGAATGGCCTGTGTACTTCTGTTTGTGGCAACTTCTGTTTGGCGGGAACTGAAACTAGAACAGCAGGAAGAACAAAAAAAAAAGCAAAGGCAAGGAATGGGTTCCGGGTTCAAAGCCACTGAGTCCCAACACCTGATCCTGGTGTTGAGTTGTTTCAGGAATGTCATCTGGTGTAAAACTATCAAAATGCTAAGTGGACTAGCGCTGCAGGTCCCACAAGAAACACAAAAGAATTAGCCAAAAGAAAAAAAAAAAGGGATTTGAAGTGACCAGCAGACTTTTAACATTTTAAGCATCCCAAAGGAGCGCCCCCTGGCTGTGTGGAGAAACAAAGAGCCTGTCCTGGTGGCTTTGTTAAACTACTACTAATCAACCTGTGGTTAGCAACAAACTTCACCGCACACAAAAAACAAGGATATTTCAACAGTGCAGGTCCAGTGTTCTGCTGAGACCTGACTCTGAAGTGATCATGTCACGCTACACTTGTCTGTACAGTATCGCCTGTCTAGTACCAGCATGTGGCGCCGTGGCTTAGTTGGTTAAAGCGCCTGTCTAGTAAACAGGAGATCCTGGGTTCGAATCCCAGCGGTGCCTTTTTCTTGGGGCAGTAGTGGCTTAGTGGTTAAGGAACCTGAGGAACCGGACAAGGGTCTGGAAAGCTTCAGGTTTGAGTCCACAACTGAGGTGCTCTGAGCATGGCGCTGCCCCCTGCTGGGTTAAAAGCAGAGGTCACATTTCATTGTGTGCTGTGTCACAATGACAAGGAGTTCACTTTCTTTTCCTCCAGAGGTAGAAAACCGCTTTCCTGTTACATCTTCTCCAGGGAACGAGTGAAAAAAAGGTAGTAATCTCTCAGTGATCTCTTCTTCCCACTACCAGCAGTAACTCTGCTCCACCACCACACTGTGACACCTGCCTCACTTCAATGACATACAGGTCGGACGAAATACAAGGGACTGAAGTCACACTAAAAAACATCATGTGTCGCATTTATGACCACATGTGAAAGTGGATCACACTGTATATGGCCAAAAAAAAAAAAAAAAAAAAAATTTCCCTGCAGTGGGAAAATAGTCTTTTTTCAGAATGGTCTTTCAGGGGTCAAAAGTGTGAACATAGTCTTGTTTCAGAACTGTCTTTCAGAGGTCAACTGAATGTGCGAAGCCTTATTTACATGTTGGTGAGTCAAAAGGTGCTACTGTTAATATGCATCTCATGTGAAGTCATCTGCATCTCTCACCCACACTGCACTGGCACGACTGAACAAATAGCTGACTGTAAAGGGCAGCACTTCTAACCACAAAGATAGCTCCAAAAAAGGAAGTGCTGCGAGGTGACAGAATATTCAAATCAAGGGCGTGTGTGGGCCGTAATCAGCGCCCCACTCCTACTTAAAATGATGTAAGTGGCACCTGCAAGCGCCGTCAAGGGTTATGAAATCCAACAAAGAAACCCGAGATGCTCCGTTGGCCAACAGACCAGTCTTTGTCTGTCTCCCCGTCTCTGCCGCTCCCTGTTCAATCTGATCATTTGCAGATGTGAAAAGAGCGACGGCTTCTTCCAGCAGCCCAACACTCAACGTGCGTTTTACAGCCAGAGGAGTGGTCTGAGGGCTGAAGAGCGGAGGCAGCAGCCGCTGCAGCCGGGGCGCTGGGCTGTCGTCACAACATCAGCATCCCTGTTTATTTTAGTTTCTAGTGGAATTCTCTCGGACACCTAAGGCCTCAGAGAAAACTTTCATCTCCCCTGTGGTGCCACAGACTTTTTCCCTGAGTATAGAACAGACTCAGAGGAGCAGCAGCAGCGACGGCACCACAGCGGGACGTGGTACAGTGGGGGCTTTGCTGCCGCTGATGAAGGGTTGGCACGGAGCGGCTGTTTGAGGCTGGCCGGGGGAACACTTGGACTACTCTCTTCGGTGGTTGAATGTCTGACTCCTGAGTTCTGCACCAATGAGCTGCACTGTTTACCCAACTGTAGAAGGAGAGGGGCGTTCAGAGGGAGACAGTCAGGGACCGTGTACAGTCGCTGAATCAGTCACTGCGTCTTCATACCAATGGTAACTGTTATTTAGGGCATGTAACCGTTGTCCACAAGTGCTGTGTGATGGGATCATTCAGTTAACACCTAACTAGTCCCTAATTAAACTAACCCACAGTCAGCATGTTCTATGGGAGGAAACCAGAGTAAACGCCCAGACACACCTGCAACATGAAAGCTCCACACAGATTGGCTACTGAGGCTACGCTACAGCCAGTAGTGATATGAAACCATTAGTGATATACAATTAGATACAAGACGTCAAGAAGTACTGAGATTAAACCAATAAAAAAACCCTCTTATGTTGCGTGTACAGCTGAGATTAAACTAATAAAAAAAAAACCCTCTTATGTTGCGTGTACAAATCCATCTCAGAGAAAAAACAAAAACAAAGACGTTCAAATATATATGTCACAAACAGCATAAATATAATTGCTAACAAGCAAAAAGTAACAATAAGGCATTTGTAGCCAATAAAATACTGCATTAATGTTGTGTGGGCGGGGCCAAATTGAACAGCTAGCATGTTAATGGGAACATCATGGCAATAGCCTGCTATATGAGGAATAAATGTAAAAGAAATGGCCATATACTGTTATTAATCACCAGAAACACACTCAAAGTTTGTATGAGTGAACAGTAATTCAGATGTGATTGCTAACATGCTAAGAAATTGTGGAATTTAAGCTACAACATCAACACTAGCCTGCCTATGCTAGCCACCATAGCTTTAGCATGCTTGACAGGAAATAAATGCAGCTTCCAGAAATGACTTTAAAATTTGGTTTTACTATTAACTGAGTATTAAAGTCCATGATGAAAATAGCCTACTTTTCTTACTACTTAAAAAAAAATTTTTTTTGGACTAATTTTAATCTTTTCCTGAGGTTTCATCGATGGCTGCGAACGACTCTGTCTATTACTTCATTTACAGCCTATGGCTAGTATTTAGCGCCCGCCGTCACTTGAGGGTGCTTTAATCCGCAGAGGAAGAACCATTACAGCAACGGCAAAGTTCAAATATCCTGTACACACAAACAAGGGTGCACTCATCACCGAGGCTGTAGTTCCATCTGGATTAGTCCAAACTGTGTATTTGTTCAGGCCTTTCAAACGGGATGGAAGTGAGCTGAGACTAATGTGTATCCACCAGGCTGTTGCTATGTGCTTTATCTCTCCTGCTCTGATCTCTACCTGCTGGAACAATTTCACCTGCTCCACTGCCTCTGGGCTTTATTCCACACCCACTAAATCTGTCACTCTGGGCCTTCGTTGGCCGTTCCAGTCCCTGTTTTCTTCTGTTTTTCACAAGCGACGTGGCAGGCTCCGAGCCACGCCAGGCATTCTTGGTCTTTGTAGATCAAATGGCGAGACGCGTTTCTACATTCATCACATTTTTAAAATTCAGAGACTGAACAAACACAATGCATAACAGACCCGGTTTAGCAGCAACTGAAGGCAACTAGTGTGGGAACTAGTCGGAGGGCTCGAGGGTGAGAGGCTGTGGGTGTTATAGGGTTTAGTAATAAAATGATATTGAGTCTTGAGTTGCTAAAGGTGACACAGTTCTGGCGCCTCCATGATGTGACAGTTGTTGACCACAACACTGCCATGATACCAGGATGTGGCATTAAGTATGACTACACACTGAAGCACATCTCCTGATGAGCAATGATGATAGTTTTACTTTTGCCTGAGCTGTGTTTGATGGATGATGCTCTTGTGGTGGGGGCTGTAGTTCAACGCTGCTGCTGCTGCTGCTGCAGCGAAAACGCAGGAAATTTTCTGATCTCACTTATCTATTTTCTGTTTGAAAAAAAAAATCAATGAGGGAAGTCCCTCGTCTGAGTTCTTTAGTAAAAGTTATACCTGACACAACAGCCATGCTGGTGGGTGGTTTACTGGCTGTAGGGGCAACTAAGGAGGGCAGGCGGGCGGGGGGGGGGGGGGGGGGGGTTGATGTTGTAAATACAATTACATCAACCTTACTGTTTATTGTATACAATACAAATGAAACACAGGTGCAGATTGCGAAGCCGTCTGACCTGGATTCCCTTTGATGACTTTTGATGTCTGTGTTGAATCAACAACACACAACTGTTGATGTTTAGGGAAACCCTGGAAGTGACGGCCAAAACACAAATTCCACCGCCGGCCTTTTGTTTCTTCATTTATGTTTCTAATTTTTTCCATTAAAACACAGACACAAACACACACACACACACACACACACACTCTAGAAAAAGTTTTCCTGCACGTTTCCTACCCTCCACCCTGCTGCTATCGTACAGGGATCAGGCTGGATATTTTTTGGAGGGGAGCAGCTGCAAATAGGAATTTCTTTCGCCAGATTGGCAGTATCCCGTAGTCGGAAAAAAGCTAATCCTCTGGTGGGTTCCCCCACAGAATTGCGGGGCGTAAGGCCAAGGAGAAGCCCCGGCCAACTACAACAAACAAAGAGGCTTTCCCCAGCTCTCCCAGGCAGCCCGTTCCAGTGTTTGACAATGGTTGCCATGGAAGTTGTTTTTAAACTTCATAACAGTGTCAACATACCCAGGCCATCAGGAGAGCGACACTTTCTTCCCCTCCCCTCTGGGTCTCTAATACCAGCAACGGACGAGAAAGAGAAAAAAAAAGAAAAAGCCAGTTTCCTGATGTGTGGCAGAGCCAATGAGAACGAGCGGACGGGTCTGACCGCAGCAGCGGAGTCGTGAAAACCTTCACCTGACACCGGCTTGTTGTACTTTTCACCACAAAACAAGGAAGAGGCTCAACCTCTGGACCTGTGCTGGATGTGGACTGACATTAATTCAGTCTGAAGGTAATGAGGTTGACAAGCAAAGTATAAACATGTGACTCATAATCCCCGTTATCTCCACCTTCAGTGGAACCAAACTCGATCTGCCGGCGAGGATTGTTTTAGTAGTAATAACTTGTGGGTTTGGCTTTGTTCACAGGGTTTGAAGCTCCGACCCGGATATGTGCAGAGGAGATGATGAGGATAATGTAAATATCCAGGAATTGTTCTTAGAAATAGTCCGAACGTGGAGTCATCCATCTCCTTCTTTAAAGGGTTATTACAAATATACATCACTTCTCTGTCTTCCTGTTGTTATTCACACCGTGACGGGCAAACTGCGGTAACGAGCAGTACCACTCTCGTAGAGTATAAAAGCCACAACTTACACTCACCATCATCTAGGTAGGCCTGATCCAGGTTCTCCTCCTTCACCATGACTCTCCTCTCTCCCGGAGCCTCCATTTGGCCTCCTCCAGGGGAGACCCGACTTTTCTGTTGCCCCTTTTGCACGTAGGACTGCTGCTGGATCACCGTGGGATAGTGCTCCGGGTGGGTCACCACGGCCTGAGCCAGCGGGGGTGTGGGTGAGTGGGCAGAGGCTGCCTGGGGGGAGAAGCCGTCACAGTAGATGATCTGCTGAGGGTCGGGCTGAGCGGCGCTCAGCGACTGTGGGTCTCCTGCTCGGAGCATGTGGTGGTTGGTGGGTGAAAACTGGATGATGGAGGGATGCTGGCCCGCACCGATGGGACCTACAGACTGAGACGGGGAGCCTGTGTGGACTAGGACTGACCGGTGTGGGTCAGGCATCATGCCTCCAGTCTGCTGCTGATAAAGGCCGGGGCTTCCGCTCAAACTCTTGCCTCCCCGAGGATAGACGATGGTGGGGCTCTGCTGCTGGAAACGACTGTCGTGGCTGGGGAGGCTTGAGCTGAGACGCTGGCAGGACGCCATGCTGGGGACCAGGCCGTTGTCTGGGTGCTGGACGCTGCGCTGAGGGCTGTGGTAGTACGAATGAGGCAGTAAGCCTAAAATCTGGGGCATGGCAAAGCCCATGTGGTCAGCTTCGTACTCGTCTGCAGGTTCTGTCTTGATGGACGGGGCTGCAAAGAGAGGACAGCTTTGTTTGTGAGTGCAGTTGAAGGAGCAGGTGCTCAGCACAGCACATTTACATCATGTGGTTCCAAAAAAAGAATGCAAATTGAAGTTAGAAGTGCTAAAACGTTCTGTGATAAATACATAAGTTAAGAAAAATCTTTCACTACAAAAATGAGGTCATCCTGAAAAAAAAAAAAAATTGGAAATTCTCACAATATTAGAATCTAGCCAAACAAAAAACATAGCAAATGTTAATTTAAATAGTTGAAAAAAAAAATAGACAATAAAAATCAAATTTCTGCTAAAATCCTTAGTTGATCTAAAAAAATTAGCTAATTAGCATTGTTATCTTTACGTTACCAGTGACGCAATAAGCTAGCAGAGAAATAGTAACTACAGCTGAGCCACATCAGGCTAAGACTTAAAATAGGTAATAAAAAACCAAAACCGATTGAAGACATTTCTAAAATGTCAAAAATAGTTACAAATTAGCCAAAACATGTCTAAACAATCAGGTTAGCCTAGAGCTAGCTAACATTAGCTAAACAAAATGTAGCTTAAATGAGTTTTAATGGCTGTTATGAAGTTACAAACAGGAAGGTTGGCCTCAAAGACAACTAAGTATTTAATGTATGAGATTGGAGTTTCAGATTATGGGGGGGAGTTATATAAGAAAAAAAAACTCCAAAGTGACAAATAATGTTGTTTTCTCCTCTGATCTACACCAGTGCAAATGTGTCACTGAACTTTCACGGTGCGATGAAAGCATCGTTCAGACAGACAGACAGGGGGATCTTACATGCCAGCGGTGTGTAGGTGAAATGTTGAGGCTGGCTGCGCTTCCTTTTGCCGTTGATGACGTAGAAGTTGACTTTAACTGAATGGCACACAGATGTATCACGGAAGGTCGGCACCTCCACAAACAGCATACTCTTAATGAAAGCACAATGAAAACAGACATGTTAGCTCAAAACAGCAGATGGATTTGGTGTAGGTCAGATGTGTAGTAGAAGTGTGAGACAGATACACACAGGCTGACTCTTGTCTTTGTCCACCGTCGCTTCCATTTCCCAAATCTGCTGCCCGTCTACGTGGAAGTGAAAGTTGAAAAAACAACAAAAAAAAAAACAGAGAGAGAGAGAGAGAAAGTGAACCTTTGCAACACAGTGGTGTAAACTCAGCAGTAAAGACGGGTTTAATCCTTTCCAGATGTTACTGCCACATTTGTAAACCTGCAGTCCTGAAAAATACTTAATGGCAGCTGACGGATCCATCTGATGATTATGTTTGGTTGTATTTTCAAGCAGATATAAACAGAGACAACGTTGTGTTGACCCTTGATATTTTTGAGTGAAGCCCCATTAAATAAAGGTTACTGCTCTGATTACAACATACACACTGTGCTGTAGCTCTATTGTTACAGGGCTGCCAAAGAAAATATACAGAAAAGGTGTCAAACATACAGCCAGCAGGCCTGAAAATGGACCAAAATGTCTTATGCAGTCTGAAGGAAAATGAATTAGCCACAGTGAAACGGTGCATTTTTTACATATTGTTTTTAGATTTAGATTTAGAACCTTTTTTTGTTGCAGATAATAGATTTAAATTGCATTTATTTTTCTGTAGACATTTATGAAATATTTGTCCCATTCCATTTCATTTTCATTGTATAATTGTACTTCTGCACTAAAAAAGGAAAAACCTTGAGTAGACAGATCTGTTGTTGCTAATACATTTTCTACCAACATCAACCTTGAGTAGACAGAACTATTGTTGCTAATACATTTTCTACCAACATTTTTACTGGTCAGACCATCTTGAGATCTTATTGGTCAAATGGTGTTTTCTCATCTAAACATGCTCAGAACATCATTACAAGTACAGTGCGACGTCAAAATCATCATCATTTATATGGTGTCTAAATCACCATATAAAAAAATATATAAACAAGAATTATCTTGTTATCTACTTGCCGTAAGGTCTTAAGAAATTCTCCACGTGGCATTGCATTTGTAATTATATTTTGAGCGAGTCTGCTAGCCGAAAGACGGCTCTAAGAACTTGTCACCATTTTTTATTTGGAAATTCCACTGAGCCTCAGAGGAATGTCAATAGAATGATGTGGTGATGTACAGTAGGAAGCAGAAACATGACACAAACTGTCAAGATAAATGAACTAGTAATTACTAGTTGAAGCCTTACTTCAACATTCACTCCACCTTCCTGTGAACACCAGAGGCCACGCAGCAGGAAGTTGTGCTTGAATGTAACAGGAGGTGGGAAACCCTCTGTCAAATGTCAATCAGGAACACATGGCCTAAATGAGTCAGTAGGAAAAAGGGGGATTCCACACGTAGTTTTTTTTTTTTAGCCCTAATTTTTATGATCAACTTGCTCCATGTCTCAAGTAAAACATGATGACTACAGCTTTCTTGGCATCTGCGCCGCATTTGTTTGCTTTTTGTTGCAACTCTACTCCAAGGGATACCCCGACTCAAGAGATAATTGTGTGTGGACGTGGAAACGGAGGAGGAGGAGGAGGAGGAGGAAGAGGAGGAGGACAGGCTGGACAGGCAGCCTGAAGAAGGCTTGACTTGGCTGAGGAAGCGTTCCTCTCCTGGTCCAGGCCGAGGAGCCAGAGAAGCTCCAGCCAGAGGAGGCTCAGTCTAATTCTGAGGGATTTCACAGCTGCTCCAGTCCAGAAGTCTGTGTCATAGAGTAACTCTCCAAAACAATGACAATCCCTAACAGGGAAGAGTTCTTTTCCATCTCTGTCTTACTATTCATTACTGTGCTGTATCGTAACACAGCGGCAGGGAACCCCGTTCTGACAAAAAAAAAAACAAAAAAAAAACTTAGCCGGACTCCAAGTCTTATTTGGGGCGGCCGTGCAGAGCCAGCATCTAGGAAAGCCCAGGACACCACTAGTGGAGTCGGTGAGTCATAACAGACAGCTTTTTTTAAAAAAAAAAAAAAAAAAAAAAAAAAAATATATATATATATATATATATATATATATATATTTTAACATAACTGTCTATCCCAGAGAAGCAGATGGAATAGAGAGCTGGCAAAGAGGCGACATATTCACCCGTTAACAGTAAAACCAGGAATGAAAAAAAAAAAAAAAAAAAAGGTCGAAAACGAGGCAAAAAAATATATATATATACGACATATATATATATATGTCTTTGTATATATATATATATATATATATATGTCGTATATATGTATATATGTCGTTATGACCATCACTGAGGAAGAACACAGACGCCGTGAACTTGTCACTCAGAACTGGCTGCTGTTAGTCACTCAGTGACACCAGAGGAGCAGAGACCTTGGGTTCACCTCAGACTGAGGATCGCTGGTTCAAATCCCAGCCCTGAAAGGGCTGGGATTTGAACCAGCAATCCTCAGTCTGACCGAACCGTTTGATTCTGTAGTAACCATCACGTGACCATGGCACTTACCCTGAGTCTTCTCCATGAAGATGACCTTGGAGTCAGAGCTGAAGTTCTGCCCAGTCAGGATCATCTGCTGACCGCCCAGAACAGAGCAGCTGTCCATGTCCTGCTTCTCCACCATGGGAAGCTCGTGAGCTGAACGCTGAGCTGCAGGAAGACAGGAAATGAAGGAGTAAATTATAAGGTGTTTTTTTTTTTTGTTTTTTTTAAATTATAGGACTAGTTGTAAATGTGTAAATAGAAAAGGTGAACGAATGTAGTTCTTAATGTGGTTAGTCACAGAATGTATTCTGGAAATACAAAATAAAAAATATATATATAAAAAAAAATATATATTTGATTTTGTATTGAACTCAATATAAAACAGCAACCTGCAGATTTGACCTGAACATCTAAAAATCTAAAAATATACAGTAAATAAACATGAACTTAAAAAAACAATATTTAGTATCTGATTCATTAATTTTCTGTTTCTCTGACTGAAATATTGAACATTTTAAACGAAAGGACAATTCGGAACAATATTCAATATTTGCCGCTGCACCACATTTTATGCAAATTAAAAACACACACTTCGATGGAAAGCTACCTTCCTTCGTACGCACAATAAGTTTCTGAAAAGCGATTGTGATTTACAAGAAAAAGAGAAAACTGTCACACAACAATCAAAACTTTTTTCTCAGTTTTAATCAGTGGCAGGAATCGAAATGTGGGCGAGGTGATGAGGGGGTGTAGACGATACAGTAGACAGAGTGACAAGATGTGACGCAGTCAAGTCAAGACAAAATACCTAGAACAAAGAGCGGGCGCAAAGTTTCAAGAAAGTGTAAAAGTGGTGCAATATTTTAATTTCATGGAAAATGGTTATGACGTGGTGCCTTTTAGCTACATTTGGGTAAATATCTACTGTTTCCGTGTGAGTTTTATCTATTTGTATGTTGTAATTTAGTCCATTTAGCCACATTGCTCATTTTAAGCTAGTTCTTGGTTAGCCTAAGCTAAATGTTTTCTTGCTGGTTAACTTTGAGCCTGCTTTCCTGATAACTTT